CCCCCGCGCGCCTGGACAAGTGCAGTGACAAAGCCCCAGGGCCAGGCCGGACGCTGGCCGGCGGGAAGGAGGACGCGGCGTCCCTCCGGAGCGGCGGTGGCGGCAGCGGCCCAGCTCCCGGGAAGCCGGGCGTGCCGGCCAGGCCCGGCGCCCACCCCCGCTGGGAGCCCGGCCGCTGGCACCCGACGCCCGCGACCGTTCGCCGAGTCCCGCGGACCGGCGAGCCCTGGGACCGCCGCGGGGCGCCCCACCAAGTTTCCTTTGGCCGCGGCGCCAGGCGCCGGAGCTCCCGGCCGGGGCGCGGGGCGCAGGCAGCCGGGTAGACGGCGGGCTCCGGCTTATTCACGCTGGAGCTGCCCGGAGAGAGGCGCCGCCGCCGGACACCGTGAAGGACCCGCTCCCCTCCTTCGGATCTGGTGGCCACGGCGTCTGTAAACACACACACACATGCACACGGTAATTTTGTTTTAAAAGGAGGCCCCACTCCGGCGGACCTGCACCCACACACACAACACCTGGGGCGCAGAATCACACAGAGCAGGTCTGTGTCCATGGAGCCAACCTCTCCGCATCTGCAAATCCAAAAGTGAAATTAAACCTCCACCAACCTCCTCCTCCTCCTCCTCCTCCCTCTCTACCTCCTCCTCCTCCTTGCAGCCTCAGCAGCCCCAGTAGCAGCAGCAACAGCAGCAGAACCTGCTTCCCCTAAAATCAGATGATCCGTAAGAGCTCCGACTGTTCCTCCAAAAATCGGCATTAATATTTATGAACCCCAGCATTCTCCGTCTGCAAAACACTGTGTCAAACCATCAGGACACGCGCACACACACATCCCCTCCAGTCCTCACAAACATGCCCTCGAGAAAAACACACACGCACAGTCACAACTATTATTTGAAAAAATGTTACCTCTCAGTGTGCTTTTTCACACTACCAATACAATTCCGCAAGGTTTAAGTGTTGCTAGGGTGTGTGAAATGGAAATGAAAGCCCGTCAGTTGAATAATCGCAGGAGCAAAACTAAAAGTTACTCCCCGGCTTGCCTGAGAACAGTCCAGATCGAAAGCAAAACAAGGAGAGGAAACTGCGAAGAGCTGAGGCTGGAAATCCCCCCACCCCCCGCCCTCCTCCCTGCCTGGCTCCCTCCCTCCCTCGCCTCCCCCCTCCGCCCTCCTCCCTCCGCCCTTCCTCCCCAGTGTTTGTTTCAAGCTTGTGCAACCCGGAGGTGGAGGCGGAGGGAGGGCGCGAGCGGCCGGGCCGGGAGGTGCGGAAGTTCGCCGCGGCTGTTCATTGGCAGGCCGAGCCGCTTTCATCATTTCTCGGAAAAGTCAATTTCATTTTCACTTCCCCACGGCGCGGCGGCGGGAGCAACAAGCGGCTGCTCGTGAGTCTGCCGTTGGCACACCGGGACGCTCGCACTCGAGGCGGGTTGGGGGGACGTGGGGGGTCCCGGGGCGACCCGGAGCCCGCTTCGTTTCAGGGCCAAAGCTCGCGGCTGTAGGAGAGGAAAGCAGGTACCCGACCCTCCCTCCATCCTCAGGGTTACCTGAAGGTTGGGAAGGAAGGAGGAGGAGGGCGGCAGGGGGAGCCAAGGGGCTCTTGCCAGCCTGTTGGTGGGGCAGGTGTCAGTGGTGTTTAGCACCGCTGTGTTCAGAGCGTATGAAAATTCACTCTGCAACACTGCCCGCCTCAAAGGAATAAAAGGAACTGACGAGACAGCAGTACTTAGATATTAATTCAAGAACTGGGCCGAGCGAGGACTTGGCGACCTTAACCTTATTTGAACCCTCATCAGTGGTTGAGGGTGGAACCATTTGAAGGATGCTGCCATCTCGGGCACCACCTGGCGCTCTGTTTGGGGGCGATAAGGAAGGCCTTCCCCTAGTCCGTCAACAGCAGCACACTCCAGACTGAGTTCTCGCCAGTGCAACAGAAGTTGCCTAATGCAGGATGAGATGCGCGAGGGTGTGAATTAATTGTATTTCAAGATGTCTTCATCGTGGCTGGTCCAGGAGAGAAGCTTTATACTGTGGCACTTCCAGCCAGATTCAAATCCGGCCGCTTTTAACTTATTAGCTGGGCATGCTCCCTCTTGTTGCATAACCTAAGGCCTTAGTTTTCAATGCTGTGAAATGGGGATAAATGATAAAATGCAAGAATACAGGTACAGCACCTGTCACCTTCAGGGTGTGTTAGTTCAGACTAATACAGTTCATTTGGGACCTACCACTTTTGGGGACTTTGCTTTAAAGTTTATTTATTTTGAGGAGGGGGGAGGGAGGGAGAAAGAACGAGTGGGGGGAGGGTCAGAGAGAGGAGGTGCAGAGGATTCCAAGAGAGCAGGCTTGGTGCTGACAGCAGAACAATCCATGAGACTGTGACCTGAGCCAAAGTCAGACGCTTAACCCGCTGAGCCACCCAGGCGCCGAGGAGGGGTGGGGGTAGGGGGGTCCTTTGCTTTAAAAGCATCAATTCTCATCTAATTATACCTGTTTCTTCCCCCAGGTGCAGTTTAATCAGCTTCTCCCAAACTGATCTAACAAAGAAAGACCCTTCCTGGGAGGCCATAGTTATGTACAGGCAAACACTTTTCTAAAAACATAACTCCAACATCCCTCTTTGCCACAGAAGTATTGAGTTCTAGGGACTGGAAAAAGAAAGCATCTGAAGACGCCTGTGTGGTTAGGAGACAGCCAGCCGAGTGTTTAGGATTCTGTCTTCTACGTGATCTCAGCAATAGATACACACCTTCCTTCTCATCCTCTCGCCTCTAATACCATCTGCCATAGCTACTCGCTTTCCTATTTCACATAACAGTGACCACGACAGGCAGTTGGAGTCGTCCTATACAAAGTCTGTAGGGTGGTTGTCACTCTTTGCCCACCTACAGACCCAAGTTAAAAACCCCAGCATCCATTCAATCGGTAGCATCCTGCTGGCTTGTTACTACTCCCAAATCCGGACCCGGCCCTCCCCATCTGCCCTGTATTGCCTTCATTCAGTGATGAACCCGCCTCCAGCTGTGCTCCCAGGTTGTGCTCCTCCGGGCTAGCAGCCACACTACTGTCCAATTAAGTAGAAAATCAACTCCAAATAAAGCGCGTTCCAACCCTAACTCCACCCCTCAAAAACCTCTCCCAGCCTTCAGAATAAAATCCGTATTATTTAACAAAACATATAAAATCAGTATAATCTGGCACCGAAGTCCTTTCCCAGCCCCGTCTCCTGCTCCAGGGCCCCACAAGCCCTTGGCAAACCAGCTGCCACTCCTGGTTGTGAAACAACAGAGCCATCCTCTTGTTTGTTGTTTTATGCTGAGCATGGTGCCCTGCACGCAGGCGCTCAAATAAATGCTTGTGAATGAAGAATTCCTTGCCCTTTTGTTCCTCATGAAATATTTTAGACTCCATCAGAGTCTTTTATTAACATGCGGTGACCGATACTCGTACAGAATGCCGAAGAGTTGAAAGAAAAACATAAGCCACCTGGAATCTCAGCGGTCGGGAACTGAGGTGCTGATGTTTTTATGTATTTCCTTCTCGTAATTTTTCTAAAGGGCTGTTTCCAGCCTTCACCGACTCAGTCTCTCTGTGCCATGTAGCAGTGCCCATGCGGGTGCCTGGGTGACTTCCCTCTGTCCTGTTCTATTTCCTGGCTGGCTCCTCTTCTGCGGCCAGCCCCCTAAAGTACGGTGTTTCCAGACATTCCATCCTAAACCCTTCTATTTTCTCATTCCGCGTGCTTTCTCTTTGAGTGCTCTCACTCATGCCCACAGCTTCAGATATCTCTATTTGGTAATAGCTCCAAAGTGTATAGCTTCTGACGTCTGGGTGATTTACCTCCTAGATGTTCCTCGGGTTCAACAAATCATGCATGTCTAAAACTAAACTCATCACATCTTTCCCAACAACTTTGTATATGTGTCACCTCACTGACCCTCCAGGAAACTGGCAGAGATCACTGACTCCTGCCTTTCCTGAGCCCCCCCTGGAGCTCCCTGAGGCATGGGTACTGTTTTCAATTTTTCAGGCCCTTAGACACATAAAGCATAGAATGAATTTCACTCAGTTCTTATGACCTTGATGACGTATCACTGCAGACAAATGTTTAAATACGCCCCCAAAGTCCACATGGTATTGATATACACAGTCAGGAAATATTTCTCAGCTCTTTGATGAGATACATACAGTCACAAACCTCTGTGGAAAAGGGATCGATATAGCGAAATGCAACCTTTCTGAAAGTCTCTGAAAAAAGTAACCTTTGCCATACTGAAGAACTCTGACCAAACACCTAGGTCTAATGCAAAAACCACCGTTCAAGCAATCTTCTATAATGAAACCAGAGTGATCTCCTGAGTGAGGTATGTTAATATTTCACCGGTGGAATAGAACCTCCTAAAAGAAGATCCACCTGCACGCATTAGGAGTAATTTCTCTTCAAGGAAGTTAAGTAAGAGCAGTGATCAGCTGGACACATAGTGATTGATCTCTCCTTTCAAATGGGTTTTTAATTTATTTTTCTACCAAGAATAGTTTCATAAAATAATCATTCAAGTAACAGACTTTATTAAGTGCCCACAAACTTTTCACAGCACTGGGACTACAGCACTGAACCCAAACCATTGGAAACCTCTGCCTCCCAGGAAGGTCTCTTAGAGTCTAGTAAATTGGCATGTTAGTTTCCACTATATCATCCCAGTATCCCAGCATCACCTCCACCTATCATCACAGCTTTTAGAACTGTATATTAGAGTTAAGAACATGGAATATGATGGCTTACTCACTAAAGTGTTGAGTATGTTTGGGATCAAATCAGTAGCCCATGATCCATCTGTCAATTGATGTCCCAATTTTCTCCACCATATCACTGATCCCACTCTGTCCTGGCTACAGAGGCTCTCCTCCACGGTGTTATTCAGGGGATTATAAAATCCTAGGAAATGAGTGTTCCACACTTGCAAGAGCAGTTGGCTCATACAGACCCATAGACTACAGTTCTGCACTCCAAAAAGTATTATTGTGAAGTCTACACTGAATAAATATACAGTCAAGTTAGATTTTAGTTGAGACAGAACGAACGGTAAGGACATTGAAAAAGCCTTCTATCAAAGTTCAAGGATCAGAGCATCAAATCGGAGAAATTCTTGACTATTACCTCACGTAATTGTTCCTCCCATGTTACTGGAAACTCCGAAATGAGGTTCATTTTATTGCAATTATTCTCTGAAAATCATGAATTTAAATTGGGCCATATATTGCCCATTCCTTCGTAATAAATATTAATTTTGTCCTGCTCTGATGAAGTCAGGGAAAAAATATTCCTTAAAATTGCCAGGGTGTGTGTGTGTATCTGTGTGTGTATGGGGGGGGGGGGGGGGGGAGATTTTCTTGTCTAGAAGGAAAGCTTACAATTTTGAAAACTTCCTAAATTGTTTTTTGCTAAAACGTCTCTGTTCCATCCCAAATAGCTTTGAAATATCCATTACTATATCCAAATGATAAAGTAGTACTTTCCTTTTTTAAACTCGGAAGGAAAAGGTGTCCAAAGCTCTGCCTTGAAGTTCTTTAGAAAGAACTACTATAATAGTTTCAAGTATTAAAAATATTTTGAACAAATACATTTCAAATTTTTAACATAAATTCAGCAAACCACAAGATTCACTGGGTCCGGATCATTTGGCGAATTTTCTGTTAGTTTCCTCTCTTTCTCTGCAAGTTCCTCACAGCCTGTGAAGCTCGATGCCAGTGTGTTCTCTTTCTCCCCAAACTTCCTAGCGTCGCGAATGACGCACTTTCACTGTTTGACAATGTTTGGAAGTTTGCCAGTCAGAAAGACAGAAGAGTGTCATAAAACAAAGGATTGAGAGTATTTTTAAGTCTCTGACTTCCTTGGGGAAAACAAAAAAAAAAAGTCATCTCCACTAAATCCAAAAGTACATGACAATTCACACGGGCTCCTGGTGCTGCCTCCTTAGCCTCTGATGTGAGTCGGTGACATTTCCCGCCCATGTGTGCCCAGCCCTGCCATGCCCCCGGTACTGAGAGCTGCCGTGAAGGAAGTAGG